ACGCGACCCGCGCCTCCCGCTCCGCCGCGCGGACTCGCTGCCGGGACCCCGGGAGAGCAGGCTGGGCTCGGTCGCCTCCGATCGGGCGCCACCGGGTGTTTTGTCGCTCAGAAGAAAGTTGCTCCGGTAAGGGACCGAGCGGGAAGAGGGGGGCGCGCGTCGGGCCGGAGGTGGGCTCTCTCCGCACCCGCTCGCCGGGAGGCCGCCGGGTCGCCCCGGCCGTACCCCCGCCTCGGCCGCCGGCTAGGTCGTTCCCCCTTTGTCCCCGCCATCCGGCGGAGGGGGCGGGAGGGGTGGTTTCCCAGCTTCCTCCCACCACCACCGCCACCGCCACCACCTCCCCTCCAAGACAAAAGTCAGCTCCTCCTCTCCGCGCAAATGGGCTTTCCAGCTGTGATTCAGCTCTCCCCTCGGGTGGGCGGGTGGCGGGGGTCAGGACCGCTGAGCGACGCTCATCCCCCTTCCCCACCCCGGGCCCCAGGCCATCACCCCAGGTGAAGGGAGCAGAAGTCTTTGTGTAGCTGGGATTCTCTCCTCCCCACGGAGCACCCCTGAGCCTGGAACGCGGGGTGGTCCTCATCCCTCTCTGCCCCACCAGCCTTTCAAGCTCCTTGTTCTCCCAATCCCGAAAGCCTTAGGCGGACAGACCTGGGCATTGCGTTCCTGCCCCTTTCTGCCGTCCTCGGCGCCTATTCTCTTATTTCCTGGTGCTGGAGGCCCTTTACCTGTCATCTCCAGTCTGGGTGTATAATTACACGCGCGCGGGCACACACACACACACACACGCACCATGACCTCTTGGCCACTGCTTTTAAAGTATCCTTTATTCCTGTCTTTGTATCCAGATCCATTCCCAAATACTATGACCCGTCTACACCCCAGGCCCCAGAAAATGATCAAACTGACTTTAGCTGAGCAGCTGGGAACTGGGAGGAAGGTGGTGTATCCAGACAGCACCTTCCAGCTCCGTGGGGCTTCCACACTGTGCTGGTTCTCAGAAAGGCCAGAACCCAGCCCAGAGCTGCTTTGATCTTCATCTCTGGCTTTCCTTCCGTGTCTGCTGGGTGGACGGCTTACCTGATTACCATCTTCAGGCCAGGGAGCTGGTACTCCACTGGAGCCCTTCAGGCGATGGAGTGCCCTCACCTCCACCTCCCTGCTGATTCTTAGCCAGGCTACCTGTCTTGGTGCTAACTGGGAGAAGGTCCAACCTAGGGCAGAGGTGGGGATGGAGACAGAGAAGGAGGCTTTAGGACTTTCTCAGGGGATGATATTAGACTCTGCTAACCGGAAAGCAGCCGGGGATTTGAGTAACCCCTAAGACAAACAGAGGGCCAGGGTGAGGTGGCTGAAGTGTGGTGGAACAGTGGGGTGGCAGACAGGCTCTTCACAACCCTGCGCCAAGCCAGGCCCCAGCTCCAAAAGTCTGTTTATTTTTTCAACCGTTTGAGCTGAGACCCTGGAGTAGAGCCAAGGGGGGGCGGGAGAGGCTTTTTGAAACCACGGAAATACGGTTCCACCCTAAAAAGGAAAGCCACGGGGGAGCGGCAGGAGGGGCAGACCTGGCCAGGGGCACAGGGAGAGATTCCGGGAGGTTAGATACTGGGGTCCTTTCTCCATTAATGAGGGGGCCAGGGGGCCAGATACCTGGACCTGTGCTCTCTTTTGTTGCTGTTTGTTTGTTTATTGTCACCTCCCCCAGTAGGGAACTGGGCATCCGGAAACCCAGTTCTTCTTTCTGCCCCGGAGCTGGCCAAGGAGAGGAGGGGGTATTTGGGAATGTGGCAGGGGGAAGGGGAGTGCGGGGGGCTGAGTGGGTGGATCTGAGAGGGCACGGAGGCCACAAGAGGAGGGTGTCAGTTTGGGCTGGTCGGAAGGGGAGGGCCACCACCGCCACCTCCGGAAAGCTGTGGTTACAGAAGGGGGGAGTTGGTTCTTAGCCAACAAACCCTGGGTCCCCTCTCCCCCCTCCCCCAAGCACGCCAGCTGTCTCCTTTCTTTTTATACTGTGGTGGGAAGGGGGCCACTGGAAAGGAGATTATTTGAAGAAGATGGTCTCTTCCCTGCTACCTATGTGGGGGGATGGGTCAGGCACCCCACCTGCTCCCCGAGCTCCTCCTAGGAGGAGGAACTGGAGTACAACCTGCTTCTTTCTCTTCCCACCCCTTAGGCTCTTTCTGCGAGCCCCTGCCCCCCAGGCTCCTTTTTCTTTTTTTTCTATTCTTCCAGGCTTGTCTTCAGATCTCCACCCCCTTAATTCTCTCTGCTCTACTTCCTACCTCCTCACACCCCAAAGCCCACAGATCCCCTCTCTCTCCCTTTCGTCCCTTGCTCTTCCCTCCCCTCCTTTCCCCAGCCCTAACCTTCAGGTCCCTCCGAACAAAAGATCCTTTTCTGCCAACCAGGGCCAGAGGTGTAGGGATGGCTCTGGAGGCTGGCGGTCCCCTTGGGATCTCTGGGACCCCAGCATTGGAGTGTGTGGTGGGCAGGTGGAATGGGGACTGAGGAGGAGAGATCTTTCTTTGTTCTGGGTACTAGAGAGGTGGCTGGCTTTGTGTGCTGGACCAACGGTGTAGCTAGAGAGGAGGGCTGGGGGCGCCCAGGAGGGAGCCTGGAGGGCTGATGGCTTTGGAGGAAAGTTGAAAAATTGGGGTCCTCCTGGAGGCAGAGGCTTTTGGGGACATAGAAGGACTCTGAGGGTCATGGAGGTTAGGGAAAGGACCTAGGGGGAGGGGAGAAACAAGAATGGGGGAAGGGAACTGAACGCTTAAGTCACCAAGGGACGGGGTTCACGGTACCTAGGGGTGCCTAAGGTAGGACCTGCTGGGAGTGACCAAGGAGTTCAAGAAGCATCTGTCTGTCTGATGTCAATCCCCTGGCTCTGGAGCTGTGACCTTGGAATCCGGGAAGGGACAGATTGGAATGGGAATCCCATGTGTGCATGTTACCTGAGTGACCTGAGTGTTGGGGTATGTTCCCTGTGTGTCTGTCCCACTGTGCTCTAAGTTACTGTTTGCAGTATGGACACCAGAGTAGGGGGATCATGCCCTCTGGACATGAGGAAGTAGTTCCATTCTTAGCTTTGGCCTCTGGTTCGAAGAATCTTGGAGGAGCCCAGTGAGTGGATTGGTCAGGGTTTCTGGAGCTGGTAGGGGAAATGGCTGAGAAACGCTGGTTCCCTGGGCCGTCTGGGTTTGTTTGTGTCCCCTTGGGGGAGGGGGGAAGGCTGCAGGCAGCAGCTGCCCCCTCCCGACTCAGCCGGCCTGCCCTGTGCCAGGAGGGCAGGGAGTCCTGGCACGGCTATTGTTCACTTGCACAAATGCCCGTCTGTTTGCATCGCTCCCCCCACCCCCGCTTGTCTCTCTCCTGGCCTGACAGGTGTGTCGGGGTAGGGGGCAGGCTGGGGTCCAGGGTGCCTGGGTCTCAGGGTCTTTAGCCTCATTTTATTCCTTGTGGCTCTAAGTGCCCTTCACCAATGTGTTGGCCCCCATTACCGGTTTCATCTTCGTTCATTAAGCAAGCATTTATTAAGTGCCTTTGTGTGTGTTCACTGTTATTTTCCGTGTTGTTTCTGCTCTTGGAACTAGTGTTTTCTATTTGGCCGCCTTTTCCTGGCCTCCAGTCTTCATCTTGTCCCTGGAAGCTCCTAAAGGGGCTTGGCCTGGCTGAGAGCATCCCAGGTTCTTTTCTCAGTCGTGGGCAGGAAGCTTCTGGCTTTCCCCCCTGACTTAGTGACTCTGCACCTTTGCTTTCTGGGGGCTGAGCCACAGGTGACTCAAACCCCAGTGCACCCCTCTAGACTCTAGGCTCTGGTCTGGGCAGAGGCCTCACCATCTTGGGAAAGGGGCTGCTGCTAACTGCACCTGGAACCAAAGTGGTTGTGGAGGAGGGGACATCTTGGAGGCCCGCGTAAGAAATGAGTGGGGTCCCCAGAGCAGGGTGCTGCTGAGCCCCCCATGTCTTGATGTCCTTCTCTTGATGTGCTTGATCTTGATGTCCTTCTCTTCCCTGCCCTTCTCACTGAGTTCCTTAGACCTTCGCTAAGTTGCTGAGGCTGGTGGCTTTGAACTTGTGGTCCTCCAGCCTTGGCCTCCCGAGCCTCTGGGATCATCACAGTGTGCTACCTGCCTGGCAGTCTTTTTGCTAGGTGTGCTCAACTGTTGATCTTTGATGTAGCAGTGGCAGAGAGGAAGGTTAGTAGGCTGGAAAGACGGTTCCTGAGGTTTGTGAGAAAGAGGCAGAATGACCCTTGGCTGCCAGACAGCAGGAGGCTGGAGCGCAGGAGGGCTTCAGGGCCTTGAGCGTGTTGTGAATTGTAGATGGGCATTTTCTCAGTGGATAGGTTGGAACATGCAGCAGGTGAAGGTCTGTCCTGCTTGGAAGTAGGTAAATGGGAACCAGTATGATTTTCTTATTTCAATTTTTCTAGTTATAGATGGACATAATACCTTTATTTTATTTATTTATTTTATGTGGTGCTTAGGATCAAACTTTGTGCCTCACATGAGCAAGGCAAGCGCTCTACCACCGATCCACAACCCCAGCCCAGTGTGATTTTCTTTTTGGGGGGTATGTGTGGGGTACCAGTGATTGACCTCAGGGGCACTCAGCCCCTGAACCACATCTCCAGCCCTATTTTTTTAATATTTTATTTAGAGACAGGGTCTCACTGAGCTGCTTAGCACCTCGCTTTTTGCTGAGGCTGGCTGTGAACTTGCAATCCTCTTGTCTCAGCCTCCTGAGCCTCTGGGATTACAGGCATGCGCCACTGTGCCTGGCTTCCAATGTGATTTTATTTTATTTTTTAAAAATTTTATTTATTTATGGGGCTGGGGTTGTTGCTCAGTGGTAGAGTGTGCACCTTGCTCGTGTGAGGTACTCGGTTCGATCCTCAGCACCACATAAAAATAAATAAAGGTATTGTGTCCACCTACAACTAAAAAAAAATTTTAAAAATTTATTTATTATAATTTGTTATACATGACAGCAGAATGCATTTCAATTCATAGTACACATATAGAGCACACTTTTTCATTTTTCTAATTGTACACAAAGTAGAGTCACACCACTTGGGTCTTCATACATGTACTTAGGGTAATGATGTCCATTTCATTCCACCATCTTTCCTACCCCTACGCCCCCTCCCTTGAAAATATAGGGGCCATGCTAATCTTCTCTGTATCGTTCCAATTTTAGTAGTGAGCACCCAATGTGATTTTCTTAAAAAACAAACCTGGAAGAGTCAGGAATGGTAGCGCATGCCTATAATTCCTGCAACTCCTGAGGCTGAGGCAGGAGCACAAGTTCAAGGCTACCTTCAGCAACGTAGGGCGTAAGCAACTTTGTGAAACCCTATCTTAAAATTAAAAAGGGCTGGGGACATAACTCATGGGCAAAGCGCCCCTGGGTTCTAAAAAATAAAAAAAGGGCTGGGGATATGGCTCAGTGGGGTCACATCCCCTTTAGGAAACAAACCGACCAACCTGGAAGAGAATAGGACAGAAATCCAAACCAGCCCACTCATCCCACCTTTGGAGCCAATTCCCTTGGAGAGCAGGCTCCATGTCCTTCCATCCTCAGCAGCCGGAACCTTGGGGCGGGCACAGGCCACCTCTGGGACAATAGTGCTAGGCAGTGCCAGGCCGCTTGCTGCTGGGATGTGCTGCTGCTGGGGCTGCTGCCCGCTGCTGGCCCACCTAGAGAGGGGGTCACTCGGAGAGAGGGTGAGTGTTGAGGGGTGGAGCAGGCAGGGCCCAGGGTACCCTGGCTGGCACTGGGGCATCTGTGCCAGAGAGGGGAAGGCCCTTAGAGATGGCTTTCTGCTTGCCCTAGTCCTCTCCCTTTGCTGTGCTCATCAGAGCTGGCCAAGCAGATGAGTGTCATTGAAGACGGGAGAGAGGGGAGGGGGAGGGCTGTGCGGAAATTGGGAAAGGGGAACTCTAGCAGCACCAGGACAGATCTGAAACACTGCCCCTTTTGGAGTTACCCCGGCCAGTGACGCTGCTCTTTTGAATGCTGTCTTCATGTTTGCCTTCTGGCTTTGACTTCAGTGTCATAAGTGCCACTGCTTTGGAAGGACAGGAGATGAGGAAAGTAGGGACAGTGCACGCCAGTGGGAAGGGCGATCTGGACTTGGTCTCTGAGGATCCCGCAAGGTTATTATTCAGAGGCAGCTGTGATCTTCTGAAAACACTGGATCAATTAAAGAGCTACACCTTGGAGCAAGACAGCGGATTAGATCCATGGGAGACTGACTGTTCTGGTGACTTGAGGCAGGAGGCCACTGTGCTGGAGCACTAGGGGAGGAGGAGTGGCCTGCAGCACAGAGGAGGAGGCGGGAGGGAGGGACGCCGAGGCCCTCACGTGGTCAATGGGGGCGGAGCTGAAGGAAGCCACCTAGGGAAGGAAGACAGGTGAAGGCACCGAGGAGGAGGACCTGAGCGAGAGCTGAGGACCAGGAGATAGGAAGAGAAGGAAGGCCAGGCCAACGGGCGCAGGTGGCTTGTGCCTGTAACCCCCGTGGCCAGCGAGGCCCTGGCAACTCAGCCGGACCCTGTCTCTAAATAAAACACAAAAAAGGGCTGGGGATGTGTCTCAGAGGTCAAGCACCCCGGGTTCAATCAGGTACCAAAAACATGGATAAGCCAGGAGGAAAGAAACAAAAGTGTGGGGGTGGGGAGGTGCGTGGGGAGGGGGACAAGGACTGGCCTCTGGGCCTCTGGGCCCTGCTCATTGTCAGGTAACTCGGGCTGAGAAGAGGCTGGGAGGAGGATCTGGAGCCACCAGAGTGCCCTGGGCTCCAGGTCACCACAGCCCCGTGCCCTCTGGCCCTATTTGTTGACTCAGCCCCTGTACTTCCCTTTTCTACCCCCTCTGCCCTGAGCACTGGTCTGCGTCTCTCCCCTCCCCCACCTCCTGCCAGTGGGACTGGAACCAGTCAGGGCCAGCCTCCTCAGGCCCAGGTTGAAGGCTCCCCACCAAGGTCCCCAACTCTGGGGCTCATATCCTCGACCATCTGATCCTGCTTTTTTTTTTTCTTTTTTCCTTCGTACTGGGGATTGAACCCAGGGGTGCATAACCACTGAACTACCTCTGCAGCCCCTTTTATTATTTTGAGACCGTGTGTCTCAGTTGTTGAGGCTGGTCTTGAACTTGTGATCCTGCTGCTTGAGCTACCCAATTCCTGGGGTTACAGGCATGTGCCATCCTGGCTGGCTCTGGTGTTTGGTTTCTGAAAGGCAAAGGGAACTTGAAGGGAGTGGTTAGCTTCCTTTCCTGCTTTGTTCCCCCCCCCTCTGGAGGACAGAGATCTAGAGACCTGAGGTGATAAACTGAAGAAGGTTCTGGGATCAGTGGTCTCCCAGTCTTCTCACCTTCATAGGTGTTTTTTTTCCTTTTAAAAATATTTATTTATGTAAACAAACATTAAGATATTTATTTGTTTTAGTTTTAGGTGGACATATTATTTTGTTTTTACGTGGTGCTGAGGACGGAACCCAGTGCCTCACACATGCTAGGCGCTACCACTGAGCCCCAGCCCCAGCCCCAGCCCCAGCCCCACCTCCACCTTCATAGGCTTTTGAGGAAGCTCAGGGGCTTGAGGAAGGACAGAAAAGAAGTCAGAGAGAGTGACTTGACTCACAGGCCAGTGGGCAGCTGGAGAAGGAAGGCCGAGATGGGAAAGGCCCGCCTGAGGATGGAGGGGCCATGTGGGGTGTGCCCCATCTCTGCAGAGAGCAGGGCTGGAAGGAGGGAGGTAGATGTCAGAAAGGACTTCTAGAATGAGGGAGACCCTTTGGATTAGGAGCAGTTGAGAGCTCTTACAGGTCTCTCTGGAGTGTAATTTGAGAAGGATAAAGGTTAGACTGCAGGGGGGGATTTTCTGCTGGGACAACCAAACTGGCTGGCTGTTTCTGTCCTTAAAGGTCCCAGAGAGGAGGAGTGACCTGAGACCAAACCCAGGTTCCCCCTGCCTAGAGATTAGTGGGGGACACACGGCCTCCCAGAGAGGGGGCAGCATGTGACCTTGACTAAGTGGGTAGAAGAGTTAAAGGTTTGGCATCCTGACCCCCGAGTTGGGGGTGGCCCCGGAGGAATTCTGTCCTTTCGGCCAATCTAATAAGGGGATCTCCTGCCCTCCCATCCCTGACACCCCCCTCCTGTGACTGCCGCGGAGACAGCCGCTCCAACACCGGTTGTCATGGTTATGAGAGGAGCTCACTCCCATAGATTGGAAAGCGCTGGTGAGCTGGCACCCTCTGCTTCGCCCGCTCTCCCTCCGCTCTGCGCATCTCCCCCAGCACAGGGAAGGGAGTACAGCAGCCCGGGGGCGAGCAGAGCTGGGGCTGGGAGGTGGAGTGAGGACGCGGCGCTCCAAAGCAGGGAGATGAGTGGCAACAGGAGGCAACCCAGCCGCAGGGGCCAGGTGGGTCAGGGACCCCGAAACCCTCTCCGGACTGGCCACTCAGGGCCTGGTTACTCCTGGTCAGCCACCCTGAGCCCCGGGCAGTCCTGCTGTGGAGTTGGTGTCTTTGCAGCCTGCCCAGGCTGGCTTCTCTCCCTCACTGCCCTCAGCCTGTCTCTGACTCCAGGCCCCTGGCATCGTCCAACTTCACTTCCTGTGTCTCCTGCTCCTTCCACAGGCCCGGGAAAAGGAGAAGATGAAGGAAGCCAAGGATGCCCGCTATACCAACGGGCACCTCTTCACCACCATCACGGTTTCGGGCATGACCATGTGCTATGCCTGTAACAAGAGTATCACCGCCAAGGAAGCCCTCGTCTGCCCAAGTAAGTTATTTGGCCCTTGTCACTCAGACCTGGTGCCCACCGTCCCTGTCTTCCCATCTGTCCTGTCTGCCCTGGATCCATACGGGGGACTTTCCCTTTCTGAACCCCCAGCTGGGCCCAAGTGCAGGGGCCAGATGCTTGCTCCCTTTCTCGCCCTGAGGGTGGTGGCTGTTGGAATGTGGCATGAGCGGGTCTATTAGGGAATGTGATGAGGGGAGCCTGGGAGGACTCTGCTTGCAGCTGTCACCACTGGGTATCCCTCTCGCTCCTGAACAGCTGTTGAGGGTTAGGGGAAGTGATTGGAGAAGAAGCAAGAATGTGTCTGCAGAGGGGGGTGAGAGAGGATCTGGCCAGAAAGCTACCAACCTTGCAGCTGGTTCCGCCCATCTTCCTGGGCAGAACTGGACATTCAGGGTCCCTTTGCCCTTCCTACCTATTGACTGTGGGTGGAGCCTGTGGAATCCCTGTTTCAAGGAGAGGGTGGGATGAGGTCCCCCCATCTGATCATCCAGATCAGTTTCCAATCCGAGAGACAGCGTAGGAAGCCAGCAGGGTCGTGTGGAGGAGGGCAAGGGACTGGGGCACCCAGGCCTCCCCGGGTCTGGGGGCAAACCTGATTTGGAGCATGGACAAGGAGTTCCTTCCTTCCCTGCGACTCCTTTGTGGAGGGTTTCCACTTTACCCGTCCCCCGGTTCTCCCCAAATTTATGGCCCAGATGCCTCCGACTGGTACTGGCCAGCGTAGCAGAAGCACTGCCCCTCCAAATCCCCGTGGAACTGGGGGAGAAGCCCCCAGAAAGAACCAGTGAGGTCTCCCCTCTACTCCCTCACTTGCTTGATTTAGAGTTAGGAGGGCGAGGAGGGAACCCCAATCTAGATTCCTCTAGAGACCTGACAAAATATCCAATCCGGAAGCTTGTTGCCAGGGGAACTGGGGAGGCGGGCAGCCCTATTTTGAGAGCAGGTGGAAAGCGGAGGTTCGATCCAGAGACACTAGGTGTTGGGGGTAGGCAAAGGGAGCTCCAGTGGGGGTGAGCACCGCGCAGCCCCACTATCTGCCCCTGGGCCCCACCCTGTTGGCCTTGTATTTGTGGAAGTGAGCATGGTGCTGGGTATTGTCTGAAGGAGTTAGCAGAGTTTCCGGTGGTGTTGGTGGGGGAGGGGAAGCTGGGGAGGCTGAGGCTGAGGGCATTTGGGGCAGGGGATGGCAGTGGTCCTGCACTGGAGCTTGGCTACGCCTCCTCCCTTCTTTTCTCTCCTACCCCGTGGCAAGGTGGGGTGGGGGGTGCGGAGCAGCAGATGGAGTGTGGGAGCTGTGGGTTTGCCTTACATGGGGAATAGGACTCCCCAGGCCTGGCAGGGAGAAGGCAGGCTGACTGCAAGCCACAGAGGAGGCTGGCAGGCAGGGCAGGGCGGGGCAGGGCGGGGACTTGTCTCGACTTCCCCCCTGGATCCGTCCACCTTGGAGTTGCTTAGACCCGGCCAGAGTCTGTGGCATCCTTGTGGGACAACGGGAGGAGTCTGGTCTTTGAATTCAGGCCTGCTTCACCACCAGCAGGGGATTGAGCTTCTCCAGGACACGTTCCTCATTTGTAAAGTGAGGATAGTTGAGTCAGCCTCCAAGGATTGATGGGATAGATTAAAGGTTGGGCATTTGCTCAGGGCATGTTACTGTCCCCCCTCTGCCCTAGCTGCCCATCCCAGCTGCCTCGGTGCCATCTCCTGTTCTGTGGGAGTCCTGGCTCCCATCTGCCACTCTCCACCTCTTTTGTGTTTGCGCTCATCCCTGGCAGCATGATCCCTTCTCCCTCCTGTCCCATCACGGCCATTTTTGGTTCAGTGTTGTCCATCTCTCCTGATTGCTTTATTTCATTTCACACCCAGACCCCCCTCTCCATTTCCTGCTTGAAGGAAAGGGCTGTGGGAGGGAGGGAGTGGGGTGTGGCTATGGCTGAGAAGTCTGGGAAGGGGGAGAGTGTCTGAGGACCGTGTGGCTAGGGGGCCTTGGGTGTCTGCATGTGGGTGTGTCCCCTCCTGTACCACCTGGCCCTCCCTTCACCCTCTCTACCCCACCCTCCCAGCCTGCAATGTGACTATCCACAACCGCTGTAAAGACACCCTCGCCAACTGTACCAAGGTCAAGCAGAAGGTGAGATGGCAGGGAGGGCAGAGGGCTGGGGGAGAGGGCAGGAAGCGTGGTGACCTCAAGCCTTTTCCATTCATCCCCTGCCACCTCCTCCACACCACAGGGCAACCCAGAACCTGACCCCCGGCCCTGGGTCCCCTGAGTGGCCAGGCCTATGGCTCTAGACACGGCCCCACACAATTGGAGTTATGTCAGCCACCCCATGCCCTTAACCACAGTGCCAGCTTTCTCCTGAGGGGGCAGCTGCCCAGCTCCTACCCCAGGCCTGGGGGGGATCCTTGGGTGACAGCTGTTCCTGGTGTCTCTTTCGCTCTGTCTCACAGCAACAGAAAGCCGCCCTGCTGAAGAACAACACTGCCTTGCAGTCTGTTTCCCTTCGCAGTAAGAGTGAGTAGTGGGGAGTGGGGGGCTCCCTTGAGACCCTGGACCTCGGGCAGCTCAGTCCACAGGCTCTGCTGCCCCCCTGAGGTCATTCCCAGGCACAGCACCTTCCTCTCCTTAGTGGAGGCAGCTAGTGGAGCTCAGGGATGACACAAGTTCCTGGGTTTAGGGGCAGAACGGGAGAGACCCAACGTGATAAGCCGTGGGGTGGTTGGTCACCTGAGTTGGCCGCATCCTTTGACACTTGACAGCTTTGGTATGACAGAAAGAACATGATGCTCAGGCAGGAAGAGCAGAGCCTGTGTCCCTACTCGCCATCCCTGGGTCACCCTGGACAGGTCTTTCTGCTTTCCTGAGCTTCAGTGTGCTCTCAGGCTGTTTGGGGGAGGAGATGTGTCACCGACACGCGAACACTGGAGGATGGAGTAAATGGACAGTGGCACTGTTGTCACTGTGACCATCTCTCTTGTACAAAAGGGAAGGCGGGAGAGGACACTTCCTTTCCAGTGAGGAGGAGCCTAGGAGCTCCGAATCCTGGGAGGGTACCAGCGTTTGGAATTGCCTGCTCACCGTGTCTCCCCAACAGCAGCCACCCGAGAGCGGCCCTCCTCAGCCATCTACCCCGCTGACAGCTTCCGGCAGTCCCTCCTGGGCTCCCGCCGTGGCCGCTCGTCCTTGTCTTTAGCCAAGAGTGTCTCCACCACCAACATTGCTGGGTGAGCCTTTATTTGGGGAAGGGGAGCTAGGCAGCAGAGAGTAGGGAGCCCTAGGGAGCCGAGAGGGTCTTCCGTCCCTGAGTTCAGAATTGGAGACAGAGAACCAGGTGGTGGGGTGGTGCACGCCTGTGATCCCAGCGACTCAGCGGGGACTGAGGCAGGAGGATTGAAAGTTGCAGGCCAGCCCTGGGTAACTTAGCAAGACCCTGCATCAGAATGAAAAAACAAGAGGTGCTGAGGATGCAGTTCAGTAGTAGAATACTGCCGGGCTCAATCCCAGCACTGCCACAAAAATAGGAGTAAGGAGAACACAGGTGACCGCCTCTCAGATCCCACCTTGGGTCCCCGCCGGGGAAGGGCTCTTTGGCCTGAGTGAGGGTGATGCAGACAGCCTCCACTCCCTTCAGACATTTCAATGATGAGACGCCCCTGGGGCTGCGTCGGATCCTCTCTCAGTCTACAGACTCGCTCAACATGCGGAACCGAACCCTGTCGGTGGAGTCCCTCATTGATGAAGGTGAGTGTGGCCAGGGCCTGGGGCTGACCCGGGGAAGACGAAGAGGGGATGGAGATGAGTGGCTGGTGGAAGCACCTCGGGGGGCCCAGGACCCACTGAAGAGAGTCTGACTGAGTTGCCGCCCCCACTGGGGTCCAGGTGCAGAGGTGATCTACAATGAGCTGATGAGCGACTTTGAAATGGATGAGAAGGACTTTGCGGCTGATTCCTGGAGCCTTGCTGTGGATAGCAGCTTCCTGCAGCAGCACAAGAAGGAGGTGATGAAGCAGCAGGACGTCATCTACGGTGAGCACGCCCACCCTGCCTTCCTCCTCCTTCACCAGGTCCCGTTTCTCTGTGTCCTACTTTCTGCCATCTCCCACCTCTTTCGACCTTTGCCTCCTAACCTGTTGACCTCCACGACCCTGCTTGGTATCAGGTTTCCCTCTGGGCCTCTACTTCTCGGTTCTATGGCAAAGGTCCCATCTTTTTTTTTTTTTTTTTTTTTTTTTGGTACCAAAGATTGGATTCAGGGGCACTTGCGTATAACCCCTGAGCTACATCTCCAGCCATTTTTTCTTAATGTTTTATTTTGAGACAGGGTCTTGCTAAGTTGCTTAAGGTCTCACTAAATTGCTGAGGCTGGCTTTGAACTTGTAATCCTCCAGCCTCAGCCTCCCAAGTCACTGGAATTAAAGGTGTATGCCACCATGTGTGGCTCCAAGGCTCCACCTTTATTTTTTCTTCAATTCAGTCCCCATTCTGTATCTTTTCCATACCCAACACTGTGCTGGGGACTCCAGACATTTCTAATGGTGCACACCTATAATCCCAGTGACTGAGAGGCTGAGGTGGAAGGACTATAAGTTCAAGCCAGCCTTGGTAACTTAGTGTCTCAAAATAAAAAATGAAAAGGGCTGAGGTTGGGGGCTGGGGCTGTAGCTCAGTGGTAGAGCACTTGCCTCATACGAGTGAGGCCCTGGGTTCGATCCTCAGCACCACATAAAATAAATAAATAGATGGATAGATAGATAAAGAGGAGGGGCGCTGAGGTTGTACCTCAGTGGTAGAGCACCCTGGTTAATCCTCAGTACCAAAAATATTATCTAAGATCACAGTAATGGAGATATTAACCTGGAAGGGACCAACCTAGGGCCCCGCAAATCATGGCCAAGCCAGAGCAGAAAACCTAGCGTACCATTGTCCCCACAGAGCTGATCCAGACGGAGCTGCACCATGTGAGGACGCTGAAGATCATGACCCGCCTCTTCCGCACGGGGATGCTGGAAGAGCTGCAGTTGGAGCCAGGCGTTGTGCAGGGCCTGTTCCCCTGTGTGGATGAGCTCAGTGACATCCATACGCGCTTCCTCAGCCAGCTGTTAGAACGCCGACGGCAGGCTCTGTGCCCTGGCAGCTCCCGGAACTTTGTCATCCATCGCTTGGGTGACCTGCTCATCAGCCAGGTGGGAGAGGCAGGACCCCTGGGCAGTGTTCATGGACGTGTGACTGGGGGTGGGGTGGGCTTGTTTCTTGCCTAAACAGAACTTTAGCTGGAGAGGCAAGAAGCCAGCCTGTTGGCAGGAGGCCCGAGGCGGGTCCAGGGGATAAGCTGTGTCTTTGGGGGAAATGCTGAGCTAGCCTCACTCCCCGACCTCTAGTTCTCAGGTCCCAGTGCAGAGCAGATGCGGAAGACCTATGCAGAGTTCTGCAGCCGGCACACCAAGGCCTTAAAGCTCTATAAGGAGCTGTATGCCCGAGACAAACGCTTCCAGCAGTTCATCCGGGTGAGCAATCCTTCCTGTGCTCAGGCCACCTGTCCTGGTCCAGACCATTCATGGGCTCGCCATTTATGGACCTGTCCACTCCTGGATCTGATCAACAGTCACCCCTCATGGTGGCAGAGCACTTTGTGCTAGCTCCCCACATACTTCTCACACCTTATCAGATTGGTTCTGACCACAGATGCATGGTGCTGGTACCCACTTGTCCAGCACTGTCACCTAGTATGAGGTAAATGGCCGATGACCCCAAGCCCCGCCCCTTCCCTTTCAGAAAGTGACCCGTTCAGCTGTGCTGAAGCGGCACGGGGTCCAGGAGTGCATTCTCCTGGTGACTCAGCGCATCACCAAGTACCCAGTGCTCATCAACCGCATCCTACAGCATTCCCATGGTGAGCGGGACTCGCAGGTGTGGGTAGAGAGGGTGCCCACGATGAGCAAAGGCCCTACAAGGCGTGGGACCCTGGGCAGCCTCCAGGTAGAATCCAGACCCCTGGGAGTTGGGGCTGGAGTGCAGCCAGGTGTGCCATGCCCTTCGCCCACCCTCTGGCACCAGGGGCTGAGGAGGAACGCCAGGACCTAACAGCGGCACTGGGGCTGGTGAAGGAGTTGCTGTCCAACGTGGACCAGGATGTGCACGAGCTAGAGAAAGGGGCCCGTCTGCAGGAGATCTACAACCGCATGGACCCTCGGGCCCAGGCCCCGGTGCCTGGCAAGGGGCCCTTTGGCCGAGAGGAACTTCTACGGCGCAAGCTCATCCATGATGGCTGCCTGCTCTGGAAGACAGCAACCGGGCGCTTCAAAGGTCAGTAACCTGACCCAGCAAGAGTCCAGCCTCGGAGTGTGGGAGTTGTACCCTCCTTGAGGACCCTGTTGTGCAGTCCTGACCCAGGGGCGAGTCTCAGTGGGAGGAAAAGACATGGTGTCTGTTGCAGCAGAAGTCTCCATTGCGCATTGAACATCATGGACAGGACAGGGACTTGTCGGTACGGATTTATTTCTATGGTCCTTGCGTGCTCAGAGAGCCACCAGCTCTATTTATTTATTTACTTGGTGCTACTTGGGATTGAACCCAGGGCTGAGTTACAGACCTGGCCCACGAGCCATCAGTGTTGGTGAAGAAGACATGGAAGCACTCAGAGCAGACAGCAAGGTCAGGGCGATTGATTGCCCCTACGCCCCTACTGGAATCCCAGCCACCAGAGCTCTGGGAGTGCACCCAGGGAAGTCCCAGAGGGAGGCACTGAGCCCAGGGAGGGACAGGCAGGGTAGAGGAGAGGGGCCATGTTGGAGGGCAGCGCGCACTTTCCCAGGAGTACTTTCCAGAATTGGTCATACCTGCAAGCCTTTCCTAACTAAGTCAGGGCCAGCAGAGGGCAAGCCTCGGTTCTGAGGACGAGGAATGGGGGCTACCGTAATGTGGTACCTGAGGCTGGAGGCTGCCTGGGCTTCTCTATGGAGGTCATGAAACCCTCCTCCCCAGGCCTGGATATTGTCAGTCTTCACCAGCTTTTCCCTCCATCTCTTTCTCCTTCCCATCCCTCCCACGCAGCAGCTAAGAATATAAAGCAGGGGGGGTAAAAATAGCAAGGCTGGAGAGCTCTATTTCTGAAGCATTTAGCAAAAACCCTCCTCTTCTGTGTGCCCACAGTTTAGTAAGATCCCCAAGGGCAAAGGGTGAGTATGTGACACCACGTGTCACAGAATTGACCTTCGTCTTCCCCTCCGTCTTCCAGTGCAGGCCCACAAAGGATCTGAGAGCCTGGAGGGGGGGCAGGAAGGGAGATGAAGCGGATCCTGCTGGGATCCAAGGAGATGGGGTTGTTCAGAGACAGACGGGGAGGCTGGCCTTTCAGTCCTGCTTTAGTGGAAAGAAACTAACTTTCTTCCTCCCTGCTGAGCGCAGAGTGGGAAGTGGGAATATGTTAGGGTAGGGGGAATTTAGGTCAGATACCTAAAAAGATCTTAACACTAGGTAGATGTTACACTTAAAGTCTGAAAGGAAGAAAAAACCCAAAACAGCCCCTCTTGTTCTGGGAATCTTGTGACTCACAAAAATCTTGGACCAGGTGCGCCACTCTGATTCAGGAGTCTAGGGCAGAAGGATCAAAAGTTTGAGGCTAGCTTCAGCAACCTAGGAAGACCCTGTCTGAAAATTAAAAAAAAAAAAAAAAAAAATTCCAAAAAAGGCTGAGGATCAGGGGCTGGGGATATAGCTCAGTTGGTAGAGTGCTTGCCTCGCTTGCACAGGCCCTGGGTTCAATCCCCAACCCCACAGAAAAAGGGTGGGGCTGGGGATGTAGCCCAGCGGTAGAGCGCCCCTGGATCAATCCCCAGTACAAAAAATAAACAAACCATCTTGGGCCTCTTGGGAGGTGGCAGCACACGCCTGCAGTGTCAACTACTAGGGAGGCTGAAGCAAGAGGACCACTTGAGTCCAGGGGTTTGAGACTGAGATGCGAGACCCACAGAAAAGAAAAAAAAAAGTAAAATAAAACCAAAAAATTTTAGACCATTTCACCCAGAAAAATACATGTGTGTCTATTAATATGTAAAAACTTCAGAGGGTTTCTAGAGCCCTGAAGTAGTGGCCACCCTAGGGGCCTGTAGACCCTGGGCTCAGAAACCTGAGTAAGGGTAAGAGTAAGTTCTTTCCAAAGGCACTGTGAGCCCCTGGTCTCTACCGGCCCCAAAAGTGTTTCCTCTGAGGCATCTTTCTTTGCCCCTCCCTCTCTATGCTCCAAAAATGGGGAGGTAGGAAGTCTTGAGAAGGTGGGATAAGTGACCAGAGGGAAGAGACAGGGTGAGGGGTTGGAAGTTCCTGCTGACAGGGTGGGCCTGGTCCCTGGGATCGAGGGCAGCACCTGGCAGACCTTTTAGTGCTGACTGTTTCTCTGCCTTCATTCCCCAACCAGATGTGCTGATGCTGCTGATGACGGATGTGCTGCTATTTCTCCAGGAGAAGGACCAGAAGTACATCTTTCCTGCCCTGGTGAGACACCTTCTGCTTGCTACCTACCATGGATTGAAGCCAGGGGCCCTCAACCACTGAGCCACATCCCCAATTTATTTTCTATTTTGAGACAGGGTCCCGATAAATTGTTTAGGGCCTCACTAAGCTGCTGAGGCTGGACTCTAACCTGATCCTCTTGCCTCGGCCTCCTGAGTCGCTGTGGTTATTGGCATGTGCCACCATGCCCAGTTCATTCTTCTTTCCTTTTTTTTTTTTTAGGTGGAGGGTTCCAGGGATTGAACCAGAGGGTGCTTCACCACTGAGCCACATTTCCAGCCTTTTTATAATATATTTTATTTAGAGACAGGGTCTGGCTAAGTTGCTGAGACTGGTCTTGAACCTGTGATTCTCCTTTCTCAGCCCCCGAGCTCATGCGTTTACAGGCATGCGCCATTGCTCCTAGCTCTAAGTTTTTCCTAGATGGCACTGGAGCCTGGCCTCTTGACTTGTATTGTAGGAGGTCTTCCTCAATCCTTGGGGCATTCTTGGGTTGAAGATCCAAGCACCTCAGAATTCCTAATCCTAATCCTTCCTCTCCACCGACTGGCAGGACAAGCCCTCAGTGGTGTCGCTGCAGAATCTGATAGTGCGGGACATCGCCAACCAGGAAAAAGGGATGTTCCTGATCAGTGCGGCCCCGCCCGAGATGTATGAGGTGCATACAGCGTCCCGGGATGACCGGAGCACCTGGATCCGTGTCATTCAGCAGAGTGTGCGCGTGTGAGTGTTGCTTGCTACCTGTATGTGCGTATGGACTCTCCTGCAGCCCTGGGTCCCAGGCCATGGTGCTGAGGACAGAACCAGCATTCAGAGGCGGAGGCAGAGACGTGGGGAGAGACAAGGTGGGCCAGAACAGAAAGGTCCCCTATGATCTTTATATCCCGTCGTCATATTTTATATGCTGACAAGGCCAGCCACCCTTCAGATGCAGCATGAGCTGACAAGAGATGCAGGCTCAGAGCTGCCACGGGGGACACCTGCCGGCTAGCAGGATGGTTCCACTTGGTGTGCAGGCACAGGGACGTGATTTGGATCATATTGCAATTTACTTTTATTTTCTAAAAATGAATGAAACAGGAGAACGTTGATGCTAGAGAGAAGACTCAAAATCATAGACGCAAGAAGGAAACTGGTTGATGTGCTAAAGCAGCAAATCTCCAGGGCACACACTAGATTTGAGGAGTCGGCTGCATGTTTAATTGTGATGGAAAAAGAAGTCAAAGCACAGTGCAAGGTTGAGATTGAGTTCTTGAGCCAGGTGTGGTGGTGCCTGCCCATAATCCCAGCAACTTGGGAGGCTGAGGAAGGAGGATCACAAGTTTGAGACCACTCTGGTCAACTTAGCAACAATCCTGTCTCAAAATAAAAATAAAAAGGGCTGGGGACGTAGCTCAGTAGTAGAGCACTTGCGCTCAATCTGCTATTGAAGAAAAGAAAATTACAACAAAGAATTCTGAAGTATTTTGCTTATTTTTTCACATGCTAGAATCTGAGCTACACCCCTAGACAGGATACACAGACAGTCAGTGAAAAGAGAAGGAGAGGTCAAGAATGAGTGGCATCTGGCTGGGCTGGGGCTCAGTGGTGGAGCACTCACCTAGCATGCATGAGGGCCTGGGTCGATCCTCAGCACCACATAAAAATAAAGATATTGTGTCCACCTAACACTAAAAAGTAATATTAAAAAAAAAAAAAAGAAGAAGAAGTGCCATGAGGGCATGAGCTGAAGATGAAGAGCCTGAGCAGACGAGGGGAGTGTGGGATGTGTGGGAAGTGAGGGGAGGCCGACACCGGGTTTGTGACCTAGTGTCTTCCTAAACCCTGTCCAACCTGTGACCCCTCCAGATGCCCATCCAGGGAGGACTTCCCCCTGATTGAGACGGAGGATGAGGCATACCTACGGCGGATCAAGAGTAAGTCCCCCTGGGGCTAAGGTTGTAGCTCAGTGGTAGAGTGCTTGTTTGACATGTGTGAGGCACTGGGTTTGATTCTTAGCACCCATAAAAATGAGAAAATAAATTTACATTTTATTTACAACTTAAAAAAATGTATACTTATAGGGAACTTGTCACATGATTTATGACATATCCACACGATGGAATACTACGCAACCATTAAAAGATGAGATAGCTCCATGAGGGCTGGTATAGATCTAAAACCAAACCATTAAGTGAAGAAAGCAAAATTTTAAACAATGTAAAGTGTATGCTATACTTTGTTTAAAAGTAATGTGGAGGGGCCAGGGTTGTGCCTCAGGGGTAGAGTGCTTGCCTAGCATGTGTGAGGCACTGGGTTCAATCCCCCGCACCACATAAAAATAAACAAATAAAATAAAGGTATTGTGTCCAACTACAACTAAAAAAATATTGAAAAAGAAGAAGAAGAAAGTAATGTGCTAGCTAGTGGAGAGGCTCATACCTGTAATTCTAGCAACTAGGGAGGCTGAGGCAGGAGAATTGCAAGTTCAAGGCCTTAAGCAATTAAGTGAAACCCTGCCTCAAAATAAAACATTAAAAGGGCTGAGGATGTGGCTCATAGTTAAGTGCCCCTGGGTTAATCCTTAGTACCCCATACACATTTACAAAATGTGGATAGATATAATTACATACATGTTGTCTGTGTGTATGTGTGTGATATTACTAGAAAGATATTACTGTGGCTGTGTCTGGAACAGGAAATTAGGAAGACCAGGGTTGGGCAAGGAACTTACTTTTTTATCATAGAGCCTTAATATCGGTTAGGGTATATGTGACCTAACTGCTATACAGAAATACCAACAAAAGTCCCCTTTTTAAAAAGTAGATTATTTCTTGGCTAGACACAGTGCCACCTGCCTGTGATCCCAACAACTCAATAAGCTGCGGCAGGAGGATTGCAAGTTTAAGGCCAGCTTCAGCAACTTAGTGAGACCCTGTCTTGAAATAAAAAGGGTTATGGGCTGGGGATGTGGCTCAAGCGGTAGCGCGCTTGCCTGGCATGCGTGCGGCCCGGGTTCGATCCTCACCACCACATACAAACAAAGATGTTATGTCTGCCGAAAAACTAAAAAATAAATATTAAAAAAAAAAAAGGGTTAGGGATATTACTCAGTGGTGAAGTGCCCCTGGATTCAATCTCTGGTACCCAAAAAACCAGAAATGTAGATTATTCCTACTTAAGAGTCCAAGAGTAAGAAGTGTAAGATAGTGTTACAGCTCTGCCATCTTCAACTTTCATCTCTACATCCAAAGTGGCTTCTTCAGCTCCACCATCATATCTGCATCCCACTAGCAGGGAAGAATAAGGGAGGGGCTGGATTGTGGCCTAGTGGTAGAGTGCTTCTCTAGCATGTGTGAGGGCACTGGGTTCAATCCTCAGCACCACATAAAAATAAATAAAATAGCCTGCCTGGTGGTGTACCCCTGTATTCCCAGCGGCTCAGGAGGCTGAGGCAGGAGGATCACGAGTTCAAAGCCAGTCTCAGCAAAAGCCAGGCGCTAAGCCACTCAGTGAGACCTTGTCTCAAAATATAAAACAGGGCTGGGGGTGTGGCTCAGAGGTTGAGCACCCAAAGTGAAGTCCTGCCACTCCACCCAGCCCTCCACTGGCTCTCCTGGGCCCTGGCCCCCGGGTGCTCATCTGTTCCTTATCTGCAGTGGAGCTGCAGCAGAAGGACCGCGCGCTGGTGGAGCTGCTGCAGGAGAAGGTCGGGCTGTTTGCTGAGATGACCCACTTCCAGGCAGAAGAAGACGGTGGCAGTGGAATGTCCCTGCCCACCCTGCCCAGGGGCCTTTTCCGCTCTGAGTCCCTGGAATCCCCCCGCGGCGAGCGGCTGCTGCAGGATGCTATCCGTGAGGGTGAGGGGGCTCTGGGGGAGATCGGCTTGTGTGCTCACCGTCAGAATATGGACACTTGGCTAGATCTGGGTACACAGGCTGAGGTGTACCCCACAGCGTGTGGCCCGAGTGCCCGTCCTGTGCCAGTTGGCGGGTGGGTTGCTGACACCTCTCCCAGTGCACTTGCTCCTGCTCCCCACGGGGCTTCTTCTAGGCCCTTTGTCTCCTGTGGGATTGTGGATTAAACCCCACTGTCCTGGAGGGGTCTGGCTCGGGTGGCTTGTGTGTCTGTCGGGTGAACGATACACCTCAGAGCGGTCTGTCATTCCTGTCCTTAACCTACTCCTCTTTCCCTCAGTGGAAGGCTTGAAAGACCTGCTGGTGGGGCCTGGAGTGGAGCTGCTCCTGACCCCCCGAGAGTCAGCCCTGCCCTTGGAACCGGACAGCGGTGGTAACACGAGTCCTGGGGTTACTGCCAGTGAGTGCCAGGGCAGGGGACCCATGCAGTATGTGGGAGGAGCTGAAAAGACTGTGGGAGGGGCAGTGCCAGGGATGGAGCGGGTCAGGGCCCTGGGAAACTGAGCTCAGCCCATCCTTTTCCACCTCTCAACAGACGGGGAGGCCAGAACCTTCAATGGTTCCATTGAACTCTGCAGAGCTGACTCTGACTCCAGCCAGAAGGTGGGTCCTTAAGATTCCAGGATGTGGCTGGAGGTTGGGCAGGGGATAGCAGACCAGTGGGTGCTCGGCACAGAGTTCTCAGGGGCAGGCACCAGGGACTTGGGGGTCTGCTGACTCCCCACCCTTGCCCATTTCTGCAGGATCGAAATGGAAACCAGCTGAGATCCCCCCAAGAGGTGAGGCGGGAACTTGATAGCACAGGAGCCTGATGGGGGGGTGGTATTCTCAGCCTGAAAAACCCCAATTTGGAGTGGTGCGGGGGACAGCGTGTGGACTTCGGAGTGTCTCGAGATCCTGTTGTCCCCACACCCACTCTTGTTCAACTTCTGGGCAGTTCTCCCGTCCTGAAGCTTGGGCACTGTTCCCACCCTCTCCTCTGTCCTCAGGAGGCGTTACAGCGGGTGGTCAATCTCTATGGACTTCTGCATGGCCTGCAGGTCAGTGGGCGAGGACCGCCTCCGGGCCAGAGCCTGGCCGAGACCGTGGAATGAGCACAGTCGTCCTAACAGGGCTGGAGGCTGAGGGCCAGGGGTCTGGGAACCAGGGTGTCTGACATACCCTTCTGTCCCTGTCCTACCCCAGGCTGCTGTGGCCCAGCAGGACACTCTGATGGAAGCCCGGTTCCCCGAGGGCCCTGAGCGGCGGG